TCAGCCACTCAGCATGGCCCTAACTGGCTTAGTGTATACAGCAAACATCTCCTGCAAATAAGCTCTAAAACCATTTTATACCATACCCAGTACAGCAAGGTATAGTATGGTATAGTTATGGTGCTTGTTATTAAAAGAACTTGGTATTAAAAGGTCAAAATGCACATAAACCAATGAACAACTGGCAATTATCAAGAGTAACATATTTACAAAATATTCAGTAAGGGATTTGTAATTCATAAACAATATATCATTACAAAGAAGAAAGTGGTAACCATCAGATTACACTCTACTATATCCTTGAGAAACCACAATTATCAATTGGAGAGCTAGCTTATTCATAATGTAGTATTTGGGGATGGCATAAATTGACATGAAAAATTAGTGATTTGTTCAAGTGGATGTTTATTTCAATAAAGGAGAAAGCAGAGTAAGATGGGAGAGCAACCTCACTATTATGGTTTGTTTACATGAATTGTTCTTTAAATCGAACCCCAAAGACATGTTTATCACTTTCCAAGATTCATAAGTAATTTCTCATATTGATGCCAGTAAATGTTGAAGAGTCCAACAGATGTTATGTTTCAAATAGTTCATACCTTGGAAAGCTTCACTCATATTCTTAATATTTGTGGTCTTTTCACCTTAAGCAAAGTGACATGAGGCTAGAAGAAATATAGAAATATAGTAATGTGTTATTCATGTCTAGACATTTTTCTAAATGTAAATTTCCTTACTATTAAAATAGTACCCTCAGGGTTATAGCAGAATGCTATGCTCCCATGCCCTTTAATTAGCTCTGTAGTGGGTATCCCATTGGAGTACTATAACTCATTAATTTAATTGTAGTGGTCTTTTCCGATTCGGTCTAACATTAGGAATCCTTTGGCTCCCCTACATGGAAACCAGGGTGTTATAGCAAAATTGATTAACCAACCTCTTTAGACAGTACTTTGACATGCTTTCCTGTGAATTATCATTATCTCAACAATCGACTTCAACCTGACACAGCACTATGTGAATAAACCCATGAATGTTTCTTTAAGGAAACATTTATATAAAATGTGTAAGCTATAAGGAGTGGAGAAAGGGGGGAATGCAGTACTGGAGAAAAACAGATAAATACAAATTGAAATGATGCCACCTTTCTCCAGGTGGGAACAGATTGGGAACTTCTCACAATTTGGTTTTAAAACATTGACCACTATGTCCTGGGTCAGTTATCAAATTGTGGTACAGGAAGCTGGATCACCACCTGATAGATGTCAGTTTTGTTTGTTGTGACTTCTACGTCCAGGTATTATATGTATTAAATAGGACTTGTTCTTTAGTTTAGCTGCATTGAAAGATTTTAGACTATATCTGAGATGTTGTACATCAATATTCATACTTACTTAGCTAGTGGATAATGGAGCACAATTCATAAACAGTATTCCAGCAGCAACATCTAAATTATCTTAACTTTCTAACCTTTAATATAAGCATCATGCCCTCTTATGGAATTACAAGTTTTTTTCTGGTCCTACCATATATGTTTCCAGACATGGGCCACATTTGTAGTAAGGTTTAGAATAGATGCTTTTTGGATGTGTAGATCATTGATTTAACTTGATATGCCTATATATCATATATTTTTACATTACAATGTCAATTGTTATTTCACCTAAATAAAATAAATGTTAAAAAATAAACAAATTTTTAAATGTTTCCCTAAAATACTGCTGATTTTAATAGACGGAAACCGTCTTTCTATGCTTCTAAAAATGTACATATTAAAACAATTAAGCCTAGTGTAAATAGACTAATTTGTTTTTGTAATGGTATTAATATAATGATTTACATCATAAAATAAAACATATTGAGTTTAATGCTTTAGAGGCACAACTAGGGGCAGTGTGTAGGAATCCTTAAGCCATTTGCTTCTGGGAGTGACATCACAGGCCAGCCTACTTTGGAATACAAAATAATAACCAGATGTAGGAGGAATTTGCTCTCTTTACCTTACCTGACTGACCTAAGATATAGTACCAGCTCTGACATAACCCCAGACAAAGGGCTGGGGCCTTGTATGTAATATGAATCCTTTGTAACATTTAGCAACTGTTATAGCCTTTTGTAAGGGATATGTTGTAGTTTTATATTGTATCATTATTGTAGTAAATTTACATTACGCTGGCATTGTTTACTTGTTATTAAAATTATATTAAATATACCTTATTGTATAATTATTGTAGTAAATTTACATTCTACTAGCATTGTTTACTTGTTATTATAATTATATTAAATATACATTTAACATTACACTGTTTGGTGTATTTACTCTGCCATAATACCACGAACTATAACAAATATTAATGTTGTTACTTATTGCTTAATTAAAATATATTAATTAAAAGATTAATATTTATATTTAAGTCACAGCCACAACAGTTTTCTATCCATACATGAAAGAATATCTTCCTCCTAAAAAAAATAATCTGAAAAGGAAGCTCAGAAAATCGGCCAACTTCCCACCATTATCATCATAGTCATTGTGCCATATCAAAGATGGAGATCAGAAGGTGACGGAACACAATAGTGCAATCTACTGATAATATTCAGTTTGAAATGTTCTCTGTGAACAGAACCTTTGGAAAAGATTCAGCAAGGTGTGGCATTCACAGGCACTGAAGGTTAATTTACTTTTCTTCCAATAATTTCAGTCTACCAGTGGAACATTTAATTATCTTAATTAAAACATTGTTAAACTATATATTTGCTAGCTCGTCTTAATATACTGTAGTGAGTTTGATTTCTTAAATGGCCTTTAGAAATTCTGTCATCCATCCTACCTCCTTGTAAGCCATGTAAGCATTTTGGTTGCATTGTCAATCCCTGCCTTTTAAAGCTCTATCTTATCCTTCACTTTTGTTGCCAATGGTTTAGACATTAATGGCTGTGTGTTGACTTATTTTGAGGGGACAGCAAATTTACACAATTATACAGGCTGTACACTTACTACTTTACATTGTAGCAGAGTGTCATTTCTTCAGTGTTGTCACATGAAGAGATATAAAGAAATATTTACAAATGTGAGGGGTGTACTCACTTTTGTTAGATACTGTACCTATCAAAAAATATTTTTCTGTGTAGACTGTAAAGTACAAATTGACCTTTAATCAACATTAGTATCTTCATATTTTGAGTGTGTACTGTAGTTTTTCCGATTGATAACACGTAACTGATGATAGTAATAAAGGTACAAATCAATAAATTAATGATTTTTAAAAAACTGTTAGGTTACTTCAAAGGGGTGTATGAGTAGCGTGTTTTGCAGCTAAGACTTAACGCAATGTAAGATATTTCAGTTTTGTATCTCATATGTTTTCTATGAATACTGCTATACTTCCCATCTCTCTGCTCTTCTTTTTACTTTCTCAGCTTAACTACCTCTCAATAGCAATGCTTCTCATCTTACTCATTGCATCTAAACTTCTTGTCTTAAGACATTCTCTTTCGGGGGCAGAGCTTGCTTGCCGACCTGACCAGACATAATTTCCATCAGCTCCTCAGGAAGAATTCTAATTTGATCAATCCCAACAGGCCTTATACTAACCCAGCCTTACAAACCAGCTATCCTGACTCTATTGAACAGGCTACATCGATAGATGCCTTTCTCCCACAAACAGCCTAAACAGTGGTGCAGGTCTGGGGCCTACCTCACACTCACATTCTCGGGCCAAGCAGATGCGCTCGGCAGGATTACTGTGGAGAACACAGAAATAGCTTTGCATTCCACACTGCTTACCTCCCAAGTTTGAACACCAGCCATAGGCCGCCGTTCGCAAAAACCTAATCCCACGAAAGACAGCAGAGACATCAGGCTGTACAGCCCAGACCTGCTCCCATGGAAGACCAACATGAGGCGGATCCTGCTGCAGAGCATAGAGAGCCAGAGAACCTCTAACCTCCCAGGCCCCATAGCCTACACCTTCCGAATCCTCCGACGACTCAGCCCCAACTACCAAATGCAGGTCCTACTAGTGGACATTCACAAACTGCTGGTGGCTAATAGCACCATTCAGAAAATGAAAGTACAGGTCATTACGGACCAGGTAAGGGCCACAGATGAGGACGTTGTGGACTTACAAACAAACATGACCACAGCACAGGGATCGGTCCAACAGCACCAGACACACCAACGGGCCATGGTGGTCAAACTCACGGCAATAGAGGAGCGCCAACGCTGCACACACATTAAAATTCAGGATATCCCGACTGCTGTTTCAGTGGAGGATCTGCCCCACTATATTCTGCACCTTCTAGCCATCGTACTACCTAACACTGTAGCATGGAAATTGCCCATCGATGGAGTATACCATGACTCCGTAATAACCTCACAAAACAAGCATGATCAGGATGTTATGCTTTGTTTTGTCCAAATAATGGCAGCCCTGAAGGGCAAGATACCTCTTTCTTTTGAGAACTCCACTTTAACCTTTTTTCAGGATATTACTAAAGCCACTCTACTCTGGCAGAAGTCTTATGTGCCTGTCACCGATCAACTGCGTTTGGCAGGCTTATCATACAGATGGGTGACTAATGGCTCCCTGCCACTCTGGGACTACACACGTTCTCAATTCGATGGAAGAGGCATCATCTTTCTTGGGGACACTGGGTCTGCATCCCCCAAATGCAGCCCCAACATACTACATGTGCTAATGTTATAGTTTTCTGTCTTTAAGTTTGTTTTAGTACCTTTAGTGTGATTTGTTAAACATTTTTTGTATTTATACAATGCATAGCTTAGCTTAACTCAGGAGCACACTGATCCTGTGAGTATCAGGCCTGAAGGGAGCTATGGATCTCATGATTCCAGTATATCGCAAAAGTTACACCCCCATCCCCCACTGCACCCTTGGATAAGGGTCTCCAATCTGAACGCATAAGCCCCACCTCACTACCTCTCACTGAAGGTATCCTAAACTACCAGCATTTTTCTAAGACTTACTGAGCAAATCGCCCCCACTGATCAATCATCTTATGCACTCTACATCTCTAACCTGTTATAGCAGGTTAGAGATGTAGAGTGCATAAGATGATTGATCATTGATGGACACATGAATGAATAAATTCTATATAATCTCAATTTACCCTCCTGGGCGTGTTTGCTATTCTACTTATAGGGATTTTTATACACATGCCAATCCAGTTTCCTATGGTTCAGAATCATGTATTACTCTACTGTCAACTCTTTAAAGTTCTCTTGTCTACTTAAAAAAAAGTGCATAAATCAGGATATGTACGTCTTGTTTTATTGTACACACATCTCTTGTTAACTATGTGATTGCAATGCACTACCAAAAAACAAACAGACAAAAAAGTTATTCTGCATAGTTCAAATGTTTTCAGCATATCCCCCTTCCCTTTCTCTATCATCTTTATCATCTATGCTGCTCCATTGTTGTTTATACTGGTGACCTTCTGCCCTAGCCCTTTATTTTGTGTATGTGTTATGGCTACCCTCCATTATCATAAGAACATAGAAGTCAGGAAGATAAATAACAATTAATTTATCTCATATTCTCATCACCTGCCATCTGTCACACAGTCAAGGGCGATCTCTGTTCATGGCAGCATTATGCATTTTTATGGCTTCTTTGTTCATGCTTCATTCTGCATCCCTTCGGATCCTCATACTACAGAGTAGTCACATCATTCCTGCTATTAAATTACCTCAACATTCATGTCAAATTCGTCACGCATGTTTGGTACATAGGAATGATGTCAACCAATAAAATCATACTTTAAAGTAGTTAGACCCCTCTCACTATCAGCCAGATTGTGGTTCTCTTTAACCTGAGAATATGTTCCTAACATTATCCAATTTATTTCTATTCATCTTGGCTTGTTTATTTGATTTTCCAAACTCTTCTCTTGGCTTGCCTTGACATTGGCTTGATCATTATATCCTCACCACCTACTGCGGGAACGGCCACTCTAAGAACTGGTAATACAGACTGTCTTGCTATGCTCTTTATTATTTAGTTGTTGTTTTTGGCTTGAAGTGTTTGAGTCCTTGAGTGCAGTGACACCATCACTACCACCTTCTCTCCTCTATCCATAAAAACATCCATCCATTTGTTTTCAAGTTAAACATCTAGTATGCATGTAGATCATCCTCCTCTTTTATCTTAATCACCCCTTCCTTCAACTATCTGTTTTTCATTAACAACTTGTAACCTTTATGACCCATCTACTCCAGGCTTGCTTTCATTCTGAGCCATCCTTGATATGCCTTAACATATTAAGAAGCAGACAGATGGACAGGCAGACAGATAGATGGATAAATGGATAGATAGATAGATGGTACATAGATAGTTTTTTTTATCTTATTTTTTTTTTTATTTATTTGCACAGCAGAAATACATATTCATATTGATCTTTTTAAGAGATCTGAAAGGTGTTCTTTCACTTTGTTGTCTCTATTTCAAGGTTGAGTGCCATTTCATAGTTATTTTGATTCCGCTATTGTACTAGACAGCTGCACAGCTTGCAAACAATAAAGGTAATTGAAATAACAAGGTGTATTTGAATATGTTCTACTGAACATAGTCTTAGGCATTTCTTTGATTGCATACCAATTATTCTTAAGCAAAAAATTATCCGTATCACTTGTAGTATGGCAAAAATATCTTTGCATCTCCAGCCATAACACAGAAGTTAATTTTCTTCACTAATTGTTTTGGAAGTTTTTAGAAACAATCATTCTATATTGTGTTGAAAGGATGGGGGATTATCTTAGCAACCGTTCTGAGAATTTAACATTCTACTGCATCATGAGCTCATTTACATGCTACTTACTTAGGTATATAAATTTAAAAAAGAGTTTCATCATAGACCTAATCTTTAGACTGCAACCCCATACCAAGTTTCCCTTAATTCTCATGATCATGAGAACTTGAAAATTATTGCCGGCCTTTTTTAGGGGGGATGCTTCCATTTCAGTCAATAGAATTGCTGATGTTCATTTTTTACATTGAAACCTGCTTAAATAAACAAAAAAATACTATTTACTAAATACTATAAGAGACCTGTTTCATGACTCCAGCCATAGACATTTAATTATTCCTCTTCTGTACTCCTTAACATTGTACATTGTACAATAAACTGGTGCATGGCCAGATTACGATATATACCAGAAATATGGATTCACAATTTATAAAGTGTTGTATCGAACATTTTTGGCACAGTGGTTTTGCAAGATTGAAGTGGGTACAGACAAGCCTTCAATATGAAAACGATAAAGAAGTGTGTTTGAAATTGCAATGCATGTCAGTATGACTTTGTTGAAACATCATATTTAGAAAATTAAACTCTCTCATTAGTTTACCAAATGTTTCTGTGGTTTGCTCAGGCCAACTCATGACGGAGTTAATTTGACTGTGTCAGATTGCCATTTTTGTGTGTCTTGATTACTGTTGACCCCTTTGAAACAACTAAGTTAATAAAGGCCCCCTTTGTTCTTTTGGATGTGTTGAAAAGGTCAGTGCCATTTTGGCTGCTTTGAAACTGGATGTAGCAACTTAAGGTGGCCAAATAATATTCACATTAGATAATCTGAGCATTCTCTGCATGCTCACATTGTACAAATGCTGTATATGTTTTATGGGCTTTATATGTATGGGTGGATTGCTCCTAATGCTTACTAGCATCATAACCACTACAATTAGCTTGTGTCACCAGTCCCTCATGGCAAAGTGAGATCACAAAAGAGATATTTCTTCTGTGTTTCAATGCACACCCACTCATTCCTAACTTCCTGGTGACTTATTATGGCACCATATATGACATGGAACCCTTTCTTTAGTCTCCTTTTATAATGTCAGTCTATGTGGCACTTTTCTGTGATGTGTACACACTTGTGATATGATGGCCCTCTGTAACCAATCACAATCCAGTATAGGATAGAGATTCTTTCTGGTTGTCCTTGTTTCCTGGCCCTGTCGTGGTTCTTGTTACCTGAGATTGCGTTTATATTGTTTATGATTTACGGTGTTCTGAACTCGGCTTGCTTGACCATTCTTGCTCTCTGTTATCCTTACCTTGGCTTGACTATCAATTCTGTGCATGTCTGTTATCCTAGAACAGGCATAGGCAACCTTCGGCACTCCAGATGTTTTGGACTACACCTCACATAATGCTTTGCCAGCATTATGGGTGTAAGAGCATTATGGGGAATGCAGTCCATAATATCTGGAGTGCCGAAGGTTGCCTGGCCATGTCCTAGACTTTGGCTTGTCTGTTTTCAGACATTTCATTTATCTGTCTTGTGCACTAGCCCCTCTAAGACCACTCTAAAGACCGATGCATGTTCCTTTACGGTTTCCTTTAGTTTTGCTTATTAGAGAATCCTTAGACAGTTTGAAATTTAATTATTTTCCATTTAATGGTTTTCCATCCATGTTGGATGACTATTTCATGTATCTATAAATTCATCATTCTTCATGTAATAACCTTTTCAGCTTCATGTTATGTTCTCTTGTTCCCATGCAGTAGACATGGTGTGGTTTCATTTCTTAGTTCTTTAATCTCTCAAAAGCTTAGCAAAGTATTAAGGGGTGATATTTTCTAGCAGAGGGACTTTTTGGATTATTTAGAGTGGAGATTATTGAGTTAGTTAATACTGAACAAGAAGAAGGTAACAGCAGCAGCAAATGTGGTTTCTGTAGATTAATAGGACAATATATATCTGTCTTAAAAAAGTCATATTCTTGATCACTGCGCAATACACAGTTTTCGTTGTTTCTTGACAATGCAAAATTGATAAGATAGCAAATACAAATGTATAATTGAATTTCATTCTATAGGAATATATCTGCTAAACTATGAATTACTGTGCCTTGACAACGCACTTGTAATATTTAAAAACTAAATAATATATTTTTTTAAAGATCGTCATCTCAGCTGTCATGGAGGTATATACCAAGTTACATATTAAGTTAGCAACTTATCAAGAGATTTTATAGTTTTGTATTTGTACATATCAGTGAAACCTTTTTGAATATTCAGTATTTATTTCTGTATGTGTTTGTTGGTTGTGATCTTGTAATTGACTCAAAGGCTGGTGACTATGTATATTGCCATCCATGGTGTTGTCACAGGCAAGTGATAGAATGTTTTTCTTTTTCATAATGTTCTTTCTCCATCAGAATTCCATTTCCTGTCAAACACTGACAGTGTCTTTCTGTGATACATGTAGGCTGTAATTTTGATAACTGTGACTGTCTATCAATATGCTCTTTCTATTCTTTGTTCTTGTAAATGTTTATCTGTGAAAAAATAATGATACATTTAAAATTAAAGGTTAAAGTGATTTAAGTTAACAAACCAGTGCAAAGAATGCCAAATGCAAATTAGTTTACCCTTTTATTTTTATTTTCAGTTTTATGGATTCTAAATATTAAAAAATTGAGTGCAAACAAGTTAAAACTAAAAGAAATGTCATATATCTATCTATCGATCGATCTATCGATCTATCTGTCTAAAATTAACACTTTGCGTGCAAGACACTACCAATAAGTCGTGGAACAAAAATGGTTAAAGCACATTACTTTCAATACATTAAGACTCATTAAGCTACAATTAACAAATGAAATGGTGGTTATAGATACATTGTGCAGTAATTACAGCATTCATTCTCAGCTTTATTTGGAACAATATGGCAAGTATTGACACTTGAACCAGGCTTGTCTTGTGACCTTGCAAGTCTACAGAGGTAAAAAGTAGAAGCATCATCAGATTATGTTCTTTATTAGATAGGGCAGAGTTTGACTGCAGTTATCGTGGTTATTCTGTCAGAATTAAATGATAAGTATGTATGGGGAAATGGGAGTTGGTGCTAGGAAAATCGTTAATTACCACGCAATGGCTTAAAATATCTGACCTGACACAACACTGCGCGGTGTCTTGTAAAATCCAAGAATCTGCATGTAAGTTGCTGACTCATTGGTACAGGATACCGCAAATGTTACACAGATCATTCCCACTATAGGTGAGGTGTGCTCGTGACGTGGTAACAAGGTGCGTATACTTCTCCATTTGTGGTGGTTAT